TCAGTTCTTTTAAGTATGTATCCAGTTAGTTGCTAGATCATATGGTAATTCCATGGTTAATTTTTTTAGGAACCACCATCATACCATTTGCCATAGCAGATGCGCTATTTTACGTTCCCATCAGTGGTGCACAAGGATAACACTTATTTTCTGGTTTTTGATAATAGCTGTCCCACTAGATAGATGTGAAGTGGTATCTCATTGTGGTTTTGATTTGCATTTCCCTAATGATCAGTGATGTTGAGCATCTTTTCAAGTGCTTGTTGGCCATTCGTATATCTTCTTTAGAGACATGTCTATTCAAGTCCTTTGCTCATTTTCGAATCAGGTTGTTTGTTGTTGAGTTGTAGTTCTTCATATATTCTGGTATTAACCCTTTATCAGATATATCATTTGCAAATATTTTCTCCCTTTCCATGAATTGTCTTTTTCACTCTGTTTATTGTGTTCTTTGATGCACAGAAGTTTTTTATTTTGACATCCAACTTACCTGTTTTTACTTTTGCTGCCTGTGCTTTTGGTGTTATATCCAAGAAATCATTGCATATCCAAGGTCATGAAAGTTTTCCCCTATATTTTCTTCTAGGATTTTTATAGTGTTAGCTCTTATATTTAAGTTTTTGAGCCATTTGGGTTGATTTTTGTGTATGGTATTAGGTAAGAGTGAAACTTCATTCTTTTACATGTAGATATCCAGTTTTCCCAACACGATTTGTTGAAAAGATTGACCTTTCCCTATTGAATGATCTTGATGCCATTGACAAAAATCATTTGATCATATATGTGAGATTTTATTTCTGGGGTCTCTATTCTATTCCATTTGTCTAGATGTCTGTCTTTATGCTAGTACCAACTGTTTTGTTTACTGTAGTTTTGTTATTAATAACACTTTGAAGTTAGGAAGTGTAAGACTTCCAACTTTGTTCTTTATCAAGATTGTTTTGGCTATTCAGAATCATTTGAGGTTCCATATGAATTTTAAGATAGATTTTTTGTTTCTGCAAAAAAAAAAAAAGACTATTGGGATTTTATTAGGGATTTCATTGACTCTGTAGGTTTCTTTGGTAGCATTAATATTTTAGCAATATTAAATCTTCTAATCCATGAACATGGGATGCTTTTCCATTTGTTTGTGTCTTTTTAAAATTTCTTTCAGCAATGTTGTGTAGTTTTCAGTGCACAAGTCTTTCTTTAGCTTCCTTGCTTAAGTTTGTTCCTAGGTATTTTATTCTTTTTGATACTATCATAAAATAGATTTTTTTAAAAAAGTTTCCTTTGGGTTGTTTATTGTTAGTATAATATATGGAAACATAACTTATTTTTGCGCGTTGATTTTGTATCCTGCAACTCTTCTGAATTTGCTTATTAGTTCTAAAAGTTTTTCCATAGAATGTTTAGTTTTCTGCATAAAAGATCATGTCAATTTTGAACAAAGTTAATTTTACTTCTTCCTTTCAGATTTGCATGCCTTTTATTTCTTTTTCTAGCCTAATTGCTCCGCCTAGGACTTCCAGTATTATGTTAAATAGAAGAGGTAAAAACAGGAATTTTTGTCTTATTTGTGAACTTAGAGGAAAAACTTTCAGTCTTTCACCATTGAGTCTGATGTTAGCTGTGGCCTTTTAATATATGGCCTTTATTATGTTGAGGTAGTTTCCTTCTATTCCTAGTTTTATGAGTGCTTTTTATCATGAAATGGTATTGAAGTTTATCAAATGGCTTTTTCTACATCAACTAAGATGATTATGTAGAGATTTTTTCTTTGTTTTGTTAATGTGGTGTATTGCATTGATTGATTTTTGTGTGTTGAACCATCCTTGCATTCCAGGATTAAGTTCCATTTGGTCATGGTATATAATCTTTTTATGTGCTGATGAATTCTCTTTTCTAATATTTTATTGAGGGTTTTTACATGAATATTTATCACAAATATTGGTCTGTAGTTTTCTTGTGTCTTTGACTGGTTTTCATTTCAAAGTAGTCCTGGTCTCATAAAATGAGTTTGG